TGGAAGAGTCCACTCTTATGAATCTGAGAAACGTGTCGGGAGTTAAAAAGACACTGACAGCCATGTGGAATAAGCAGTGACCTGAACTAGGGTTTAAGGACTTTTCTCCATTTAACATAAGCTGCATAGCCCAAGAGCCATATGACATTGGAGCTCAGTGAAAGTTTCTTTCACCAATCTTTTTCTTTTTTTTTTTTTTTTTTTTCTATTTTGTGTAAAGAGGCAGATTTAGTGAAATCAAAACATTTCAAGAATGTATTTTGCCAAATCTCCCCTTAACAAATGTAAACATTCCAAAAATTCCCTGTGACTGACTTTGACACATTTTTAAAATTATATGTTGTCATTTGGGAGCTAGAATGATTTCTCATTTCAGCAAAACTTTCCATGTCATTTATTGTCATTAAATTAAAAAAAAAAAAAATCAAACAAAGATGGACTGATTTTCTGGACTCCAAAGGATTTCACAAGAGCTTTTTCTTTTCTTTTTTTTTTTTTTTTTTTTTTTTCATTTGCTAAATTAAAAAAAAAAAAAAAGTAAACAAGAAAAACATTTAGTTTTTCTTATGTGCCAACATCTAGTAAGCCAAAGGAATGATGTTTTCATCCTGCCTGACAACCAATTAACAGTTTCACTTCCCCTTCCTCCACATGGGTAGGCATGAAATGTAGGTGTCAGACCAGAGGAGTTTCTTTGGAGCTCTCTGTGACATGACCATAGACTAATTGACCTTGAAAGCGAGAGCCTTTGACTAAATGGCGACATGGCTGTGGAAATCTTCTCAAGTTGGTGAAACAATTGCATATAAGAACGAGCAGATACAGTAGCAGCCACTTCTTCTGGGAAGCCCTTCATTAATGTTTTAGTTGATAAATGCAGATTGACAAAATTCTATTTTTGTATTTTTTTCCTTCCTCTTGCTTTCAGTAATTGCTGCTTTGCTCCCCACCAAAAAAAAAAAAACAAAAAACAAAAAACAAAAAATAAAAATTATGAAGGGTTAAAGTTATGCTAGGATTCTGTGCTGTGGATAAAAGCCCAGCCCCTCCCCTGAGACTTCAAAGGGGCCATTTGCAGTGGAATGAGTGTCATTTGGTGGTGGAAGCAGGAAGCTATTTGGGCAAGAGGCACCACATCAATGAGCCAAGAATCAGGGGAGGCAGGACCTGAGGACTGTTGGCAAAAGTCTTTGCGCCTATGGGAGCACGCAGGTTATTTCAGCTGCTGGGATGCCCTGGATGGTTGCGGGGCATTTGCTGCTCTCCTGTGAGGGAAGGTGCCTTCTCTCCGGCTCTGTGCCCTGAGCACGGGCACGAGGGCTGGTGTTTGGCTTTTGATAGCATCAGGGTACCGGCACGCTGAAACTAGGAGCAACCCAAAGTTCTCTCCTCTTGGGAAAATCCGACTTCACCTCCTGCTCTAGTTCATACGATTCTGAGATAAGCCACAGAGTCTACCTGCTTCAGTGAGCAGAAAAGAAAAATGCCTTTACTTTCATACAGACAGAAAGATGTAGTCCTGCCGTGCGCATTGCTGTGTGCAGAAAATCTCACTCCATGCCTTTTCTTGGTCCTCACTCTCATCTTTGTGTGCAGCTTTTTTGGGTGGAACTTATCAAAGTTTTGCTTGCCTTGGATTCCTGCATGCCTCATTTGGATACAATGCATACTTGCCTCACTTCAGTTCCTGTAGACAGTGATGTATTTGATCTGTTGGCCTGAGATATGCATTTCTTTCAGAAACCCTAATGTAAACACTGCAAGTAGTTTATAGCTGAGAATCAGCATCCAATAGCAATGATGATTTAAGGCTATGAAGAAGTGACATCGAAAAAATCCTTCCACTCCAACTCAATCTTAAGGTGGTTCTCTAGTCTCTTCTGGAAGCTACACTTAGAAATACTGTAAAAAGAGATTCCAGCTTTCTTGTACTTTTCTTCTCTTTCTTTTTTTTTTTTTTTTTTTTTTTTTTTTTTTTCAGTTTTGGTCAAGCACAAGGAACTATATTTCTGCTGTGCTGACTTTTTTTTTTTTTTCTGCCCAGCAGACTTGGAGCTGAAACAGAGTCTTGCTGACAGGATTTAATATGAGGAAGTTTTGCAACATAATTTGCAGCTGGTGTACAACTTCTCTGTTAATGTCAGAAGGTAACTGCTGAGATAAACTAGTTAGGTATTGTCGGGTATATTATCTGAGCAAGATGCTTGCCCCTCAAACAAACACTTCATTTGGTACAGAACCCTAATTGTTAAAATCTCCCATTTGATCAGCAGAGTCAGTTTATGTGCACGTTAAAGAAGCGGTAGAGAGACAGTCTTTGAGAATTCCACTGTATTTCCAGAGGCCAGCTTCAAATAAAAAGTAACGTACCTCTCCTTAATGCCTTCCACATAAATTTGTCGGATGTTCTAAATATCTGAAATATTTAATAGAGCGACACTGAACAATGAGAAAAATAAGTGTTGTGTTAGGGTTTTTTGTTTGTTTGTTTGTTTGTTTGTTTTTTTCCCAAAGAGATTTAAAGAGTGAAACCTGCTTTTGTACATCTTGTTAGCACATTCCACTGTAGTTGGCAATTTCACAATAGATGAAAAAAAATAAATGTTTGGCTTAGCTGGCAAGGCATCTGGATACCTGGAGTTTATTCCCAACTACACCTACCAGGTCCTGAGCAAGCACCTCTCTTTGCCTCTGCAGCCTGCATCCCTCCCATATAGTTTCTCTGTCTAGTTAGCTGGTGAACACTGGGAGAAAACACTTTCATGAGATTTTTATCTGCACAACACCTAGCACAGCTGACTCTTATCTCACTTGGGATCTGCGGGTGCTTCAGTCCTGTAAGTAGTAGCAACAAATATAATGATGCCCTGAATCAGCATAGCTCCACAGAAGTTGTTTTACACACAAACCAAAGGGCCTGGCCTACAGTTTTATTTCACTGTGTTTATGAGAAGAGAAATGTTTCCTTTCCTCTCCCTTTTTTTGTGTTCTCAGAGGTTTTCAAAGGTTGGAAAAGGCAAATCTCTGGTTAGCTAGGATAGACCTGGGGAATGCCATGCCCTTTCCTGTGGCTCTCACCGTGTGTCCTTGCAGTCAGTGAAATCAAAACAGAGGGAAGTGTTGTTTTTTCACCCTTCTAGAGAGGAGGGGAGTGGAGCAAAACCAGGGACATGGTAGAAGATAAAGCAGTAATAAACACAGTAAATAGCCAGTGATTATTTCAGCGTCTGGTTGTGGCCAACGTGCTTATATCACGGTGTTGTTGAAACTCCTACAGCTGCTCCTGGACGTGCACGACTAAGAAGCAACTCGAGGGGCAAACTGCTACTAGTACAGAAGAGGTAGACAAAAGTCCTGCCACCAGTCATTGGCTAACACTATTCAGAGACTCAGTAAAGTTCACTATTTTATTTACTTACCCTTCCTCAGAAGGGTTTTGAGTCCTCCACGTAGGATGCTTTGATAACAGTTTTACTGCACTGACTGGAGCCAAGTTGCTCCATCACATGGGTGTGAAGGAAAGCCTGACCAGGTCCAGAGCTGAAATTGTGGCTGCAATTATAAGTGAACAGCAGGGCTTTCCTAATCTGCTTTTCTGTTGTTGACCAGTACAGGTCTTCGATACCCACCGCACGGTCAGTGCTCACCTCAAGTACCGCGTCCCTGTAGCCGCGTTAAGCCCACGTTAGCACCTTTCCTACGGCATGCTAACTCTGCCGGCCGGCAATTTCATACCTCTGCGACTGAGAGTGAGGGGCGAGTGTGAAGAATGAAAGGCACTTCACGAACAGAAAAACTGTTCTATGATCCGAACTAAATCCTGAAGGCTTGGAGGGTTATTTCCTCAGTTCACCCCAAGCATGGTTTTGTTTTTTTTGTTTGTTTTTGTTTTTTTTTTTTTTTTTTTTTGAGCTGCAGACTTAATGCAGATGCCTAAATAAGCAATTAGTGCTTCAAAAGTGTTGTGTCTCCAATGACTCCAATAGGATTTGCTGGTTCACTATTTTTAATTAACTGATAAGGGCTTAGAAACCCAACTCTAAGCAATTCCAGAAAACTTTGGATAATATCCTGTAGCAATATTAATTATTCAGAATTAACAATCAACTATCCAGTGTGAATTTAGAGGATGTGCAGTAAACAAGGTGTGAGACCACACATGGAACGAGTACCACAGGATAATATTTGTAAATAAGGTATGCTGTCATGTTCTTAAAGCTGTAAATTAAATCTGGACAACTAAAGTTTTCTTAATTTTTCACCACTTAATCCTGCAGCCTTAGTATTCTTTCAGTGTTGGCCTTTTATAATAAAACGTACCCTGGTCCTTCATTGTGCCGTGTTACGAACCAAAAGTTAAATTATAAAGCGTATTTAGAAAAAAATTAAAGTTAAAATGCAGTAGCCAAATTAGCCAGCTATGGCCCTTTGTGTCATGTTAACCCCGCTTTTTACATGCTTGCTCAGTCTATTGCAGCCTATTTTACTAATTCAAAGAATTCACGACACGTCTCTCAGTCATTTCCAGGAATTTGAAAGAGCTCGTTTGTTTATTCTTACTTGCAACAGGCATCTCCACAAAATTCTTCAAAATACACCAAAGACTTTTTCTCCTCTGAAACAAAACTTTAAACACCTAAAAATAACGATCCTTTTTTTTTTTTTTTTTTTTTTTTTTTTTTATGGGCTAATTAGTGCATCAAATTATTGCTCAGTCCCTTTATCTGAGACTTTGGGTAAAATCCAAATGGAAATGAGCTTGGCCGGTGCGTTTTAACCTACATTTGTCAGCCTCACAAAGTCACCAGGCGATTTAGCCCAGTTGGCAGCTCTGGTTAAGAGACAAGCCGGGCTGGCATAGCTGAGATGCTTCAAGCAGGGAAGGCGGTAGCACTTTGACAGGACTGCGAACACACTCTCACTGCGTTTCCTTCTCCCTGCCCTCCCTCCCGCCCCGGCAACGGCAGCGGACGCCGCTCAGTTATTGGAGACGCACAGTAAAACCGCTTTTTTAGGAAAGCGGTAAAAATCCTCCCGAAGGTGGGACGTGCTGTAAAACTCATCGCGGCCCGCTTCCAAAGGAGGAAAAAGGCTTCGCCACCCTGGGTCCCGTTATTGGCAGCTCGTGGCACGCCAAGCCCGGCGGTGCTCAGGCGTCTCTCCCGCCAGCTTCCCCTCCGCGGTGCCCGCCGGGGGACCACGCCGACGTGACGACAGCATGCACCGCCACCGACCGATCATGCTCGAGCCCCTGGCCCGCCCCGGCGCAGGAGGAACGGGGGTAGAGGTGGTTTGATTCCTCTGGCTGCGCCCCAGGACAGCCTTGACGTGGAGATAAAGTATCTCAAGGATCCGTCCCGTTGCAAAACCCTAAAATAAATAAACAAACCAGGGTATTTTAGGTCCTGTAGCCATTGCATCCAAGAGAGCCTGGAGAAAAGGTTGAACCTCGTGTCAGCTGTGGAAGACAGGGTTTGAGCAACCAAAACAAACTTTTACGAATTCTGCCCTAAGCCACAGTTGTATAAACTCTGTAAGAGATCAGAGAGATTATAGAAATTCCCCTGTCAGTTACAAATCAATGCGTTTTGTTCATATTTTTTTTTTTTTTTTTCCAGACACCTGATCTCAAGATCCACGGGATGTTGTGCATCTCACTGACAGCAGAGTCCTTGGTGAGTTTGATAAGCTTGATAGCTCCTATCACAATAAAATCAGCAGGAAAAAAATAACTGTCAAGTTAGCAAGGCCAGGATGGACGTCACTAAAGAATGAAGTGGTGAGGAGAGTAGGTGCAGCTTTGGGAAGCAGCTAATAAACCTTTGCAGAGCTTTGAAAACAGCTTATTTCTTTTTAAGAGCTGGAGGTGAATAAAATCAAAACCTAACATTATTAATAAATTATATCTCATTACTCAAGGGAAGAAAACTGGTCCTGTGTAACTATATTTTCTCAGAAAAGAACGGCAGATATGTATTAGGTATTTTATGACTTGTAAAATATTTAGAAGAAAAAAATTGAGCCTTATGTTTTTATTTGTCACTGAAGACTCATAAATAAATTAATATGACTTACCTTTTTTTTTCTTTTTACTCAAACCCTTCAGAATTTTGTCGTGCTCTTAAAAATGTCTTACAAAACGCCCATGGAACAGGCAGAGACAGTTTCATTGACAAAAAAATAATCAGTCCTTCTTATTTATTTCTAGTGGATCTATTTTTTTCCACTCTGGAAATATAGTTCAGGAGATATATTTAGTCTCATACAGAATAGTGAGAAGAAATAACCAGAAGCAGAAAAATAGAGGAAAAGTATTTTAAATTATTATTATATAGAACTAGTTTTGAGAGAATTTCCACATTTTCTGTTATTTTCTATTAAACCCCTTCAGAAGAAGTAGAAAAAAGTTTCTGATATGTTTTGATGTGAAAAAATTTTTCTCTTCGTATTTAATGTCAAAATATTTGGATAACCAGTTTATGCCGAAGTAGAAAAATAATACTCACTGTAGTATTTCTTTTAATAGCTACCCAGAAGATGCAGGTTGAACAGGTGTGTCATGTAAATGGAAGGCAAAAGAAAGAAAATTTAAAAAATAGATTTTGAAAGAACAACTATTAACTGCTTTGTCTCAATTCAAAAGGACATAAGAAACCCCATTTTTGAAGGAAGAATTTTCATTATTGCTTCACTTTTAAAATGAAATTAAATTTAAATTATACCTTGAAAAGAACATTTCTTGTTCAGCAAATTGCATCTTTTAGTCAGAAGTCTTGCATTTGGCAAAAAAATGTATTTCTCTCCCACTTATACCCACTACTGTTTTTTTCTCACATAACACAGCCAAGACAGCTTGGATTGATTTCCTTGTTCATTTTTCAGCTACGTTGGAAATGTCAGTGCAGGCAACGCAGGGTTTACTTAGTCAACGCCTCCCTCCCAGGACCAGTTACCTTTAAAAAGTGCTTGCCTGTAGGCTGCTGGAAAGAGCGGGATTAAGACAAACTCGATGTTACTGTTGAGATGGTCAGGAAGCTGTTCTCTAAGAACAGGCACATTTTTCCAGGTCCATGACTTTTTATAGTATTTCCTTATCCCTCACTCCTTGCATTTTCTCCCCAATCAGGACAGTGCAGCAGCATGGGGGGGGCTACCCAGGGGCGATGGGGGATTCTCTGCTCGGGGCACAACGGGGTCTTCAAGACAAAAAAGACCGTGAAGCTCCCTTATGGCAACCCCTGGCAGCCCTATTTTCTGTCATTCTGTGACTGCCTGATAGCTTAAGTGCTGCGTGCGTGTCCAAGCATTCACATGCGTGCAACGCGAGTTTGTCGTGGGTGAGAGGACCGCTAACACAGCTGAGTCAAGTTTTGGTCCAGAGCGGGTTTCGCATCTGGAATTGAGAAAGTAGGCAATATTCTGCACCAGATCCGAGCAGTGCAAGAGAAAGTCGCTTGGGAGTGGGATACCTCAGCCCTTTGATATCCAGTAGTGAAGTAAATCTGAAACCTCGGGTGGCTGAATAGTGCAAACTGTGCAAACTCAAAGATGATCACTCGGTGGTACATCTAGCCAAAAAGTGACAGGTCCGTTTGTGGGGCCTGCTGTGCTCTGTGGAAAGCCAACGTTGCCAGTACTGTGGAAGCACTGAGAAATGATTTGTGAAATCTGCTGAATTATGGACAATGGCAGTTACCTGCACATTAGGAAGATGCTCCAATGTGGGCTGCAGAAATCCCGTTAAAATAAAATCTGCACTGTAATACACAGGAAGAAGGAAGAAAGATGAATTTTATTGTTTTTATTATGGCAGTCTCTAGGAATGTTAAGATCCAAGTAAAAGCAAATTGTTTAAGTGGCAAACTTAGAAGAGACAACATAAGAACTCAAGACATAAGAAATTACTGACCCCCTGACAATAGCGACAGGTTTTGTAAACAGGTTTGCAAAGGTTGGAAAAATTATTTTCTATTATTTCAAGAATCAATCTCGAGGCAGAGTGCACGCAAACCATTAGCAGTTTAGAGTCTGTGGAATCATACGTAGCATTGCAAAGAGTGAAGTGTTAATGTTTACCACTAAGGTTGTGATTGTGTGAAATGGGCTACATAATTATTGCCATTGTTATAATGCACAGAGATTTACCAAGAGCTCTGCACCGCTATGCTGGTTTTCCGCAAGCAGGGACAGTAGATTGCTCCTGCCTCACAGAGCTCATGATTTAAACACATCTAAATAATTGAACGAATATTGTTTAGCTCAAACTGAATATTGTTTAGCTCAGCTTTGGTTTTCTTATCAGACACTTTCTGACATGACAGCTGATTTAAGTGGAGGAATTCTGCCTGGACCATCGCTCTCTGATAAAATGGCACCTGATAAGGGTGTGGAAATAAGGATGTGGTGCTCTTACACCAGCGTAACGTAGGCCAGTGAATGCCTCCACATATGGTACCACGGTCTTTACAAGTGTGTCAGTGATGGTAATGGCAGGAGGTTACACGTGAAGTCAGTAGTAGTGCCAGAGATTGATGAGTTCATACGGCCGAGCCTCTAGCAAATACTCAGACAGAAAATTTCGAAGCTCATTTGAAAGGATGATAAACCTCCACTCCTTCCGTCAGACTCACAGTAGCTTGGCTACCCTTGATCTGGTCAGCAAAGAGACTGCAATGTAGCCAGCAAATCTTATTTCGTAGGATGCACTGGCAGCAAGACCATCCTATTCACACCTCTTCTCTGAAAAAGATACCTATCATCATTTGCCACTCGTGCTTTAAGCACAATCAAAACTGAAACCAAACCAGAAAGTTATGGCTCCTTATCACCATCTCAGTCTCCACAATGTTTGAACACAAAGTCAATTATGCTTTAGTCACATTAAATATTCTTCAGTATTCATATTCTATTAATAAGCCACCGTCCTTTGTTCTACTATTGCAAATCTTAATGAAAAAAAAAAAAAAAAAAAAGGGTTAGCTGGGTTTATTCAAAGATGAATTTGTTAAGTTACAAATTCCATGTGCTTCCTATTATCATCATAAAAAACATCAATCATATTATTTTTGCTTTCTGAGGGACGGTTTCTCAGGTGATGTACACTGGCATAACGGTTGACCTGAATATGATTTCAGTGCCTGATATCCACTGAGGATCCTGCCCTAGTATTAAACTGAACTTTGCATATTTTCCTTTATTCGTTACTTACCTGACTCATACTTTCAAGGGAAGGAAACGGTAGCATATGGCTTAGTTAATTAACCAGCCAGAACAAATAAACTGAAAGAGGGTTGATTTAGACTGGATATAAGGAAGAAATATTTTATGGTGAGGGCGGTGAGACACTGGAACAGGTTGCCCGGAGAGGCTGTGGATGTTCCTTCCCTGGAAGGGTTCAAGGCCAGGTTAGACAGCGCTTTTAGCAACCTGGTCTAGTGAAAGAGGTCCCTGCCCGTGATGGGGGGGTTGGGCGAGATGATCTTCAAGGTCCCTTCCAACCCAAACCATTCTATGGGTATGTAAAATTTAAACAGCAGAATCAGCACTTTGGAAACGAGCTGCTCACTCACAAACAGTGCAGCAATGAAGAACTGCCTGTTGGCTAAATCCTTTTAGTAAATCAGGAGGCCTGGATGCAAGTCAGGAATTACTTATTGGGGGAGGTCCTACGGTCTCTATTAAGCAGGATACATGTCCAAAATGGTCCCTTGTGCCCTCCAAGTCTATTCAGCTGTAGTCCGTGAATTAACGATAATTGTGAATAATTTCTGTAAAAGCATTCATGCAAGAAGGCGAGAGCAGTAAAGAGTAACTTTCAGAAAGCTTAGCTGGACACAAGGGTACTGTGCACTGGGCACGTCTGCTCTCCCTGTGACTTTTGTTGAAATTGATGGGAGTGGGGGAAATTTCCGCCTTTGTGCAGATTGCAGTTCGAGGCAGTGCACTGTTACCATTCTGCTATTTCCAGGGGAGACTATAGTTTCAGCTGTGATAATAACAAGCAATATAACCTGGAAATGAAATAGCTGTTTGTAAAACCAGTCTGCAGCCAAAATTCTGCAGCTGGGCCTGAGAACAAAGATACAGCATGACCTTCAGGGGGTCAGCATTACAATTAAAAGACCCTGACACATCCAGCTTTGAGATGATTTTCTTTTTCAGTTTCCAGTAATAAACTGAGCTACTGAGTTAACCTCATTGGAAGCAGTCAGAATTCATAGTGGACGTTATGACTTTCTCAGTATGTTCAGCTACTACCTCTGATTTTTTGAGTGGGATTCGGAGAGATGTGTTTGGTGTTTTTTTTTATTTTATTTTTTTTATTTTTTTCATAGATCTCCCTACTTGGCTTTGACAGGAGATGTGGGAGATGAGAGGTAAAGAGAAATTTCCAACTTTTGCTTCCCCTGATGTGTTGATGAATGTTAGAAAATTTGCTATATTGTGTCAGTTTTTATGTATCTCACCCCTACTGAAATACAGCACAGAGGACTTGATGGTATCACCAGTGATGAATTGGGTCTCAGATTGCTATCTACATTTCTTATTCTGCTGCTTTCCAGTCTTACTTGAATAGTAGCTGGTTGCCTTACCCACCCAACCCTTTCTAAGCGACTTAGACAAAACAATCTTGCTGAGTTTGCTGCATTGCTTCAGGGAGGGTAAATTTTATAGGGCAAATTAATTTCTATTGGCCCAGGCAAATCTAGTCTGCAATATCCACAGGGGGAAAAAAACCCAAGCAAACAGGGATGTCTAAAAGCCCATGCAGGAACATTTAACCATTTGTTAACCTATTCTAACTATATATAAACCTAATTTTAGGTCAAGACCTGTAATTTAAAGCTACAATTGTAAACAAGTCAAAAATAATCTGCCTCCCATCAAGTTGGCATTTAATGTCATTAGCAAGCAGAGGGAAGGAAGACAAAACTGACTGAATATTATAATATTTAGTTATTTAGTTTTATTAAGAATGGAGTTACTTCCATATCACATATCATTACTTTTGTTATGGAAAACATGGATTTTGGGGGACTGCAACGTTCAGTTCAAGTCAGTTCCCTAAAAGCGGGAACTGAAATTCCTAAGAAAAAGAAAGAAAATCAGAAAATTCCTGTGCTGTTTTGTGTCGTGAAGGCCACATCCTGGTGCCACCAAAGCTGGTGGAACACTTTGGGAGGACCCTGAATTTCTGGGGGAGGGCCAGGACACCCCCACCCCCCCCCCCAGCCTCATGCTCACATGGAATCAAAGCATTGAAGAGGAAGGTGGTTGCAGTGGCAGCCTTCTTCCTCTGCTGTGGGAAGGAAGATCACTGGGGAGATAGCAAAGAGGATGAAGTAGTTTGTGGCGGGAGATGTGGATTCAGTGCATACCTCAGCAACCCCTTTCAGCAGGAAATGAAAGCTACCCAGATAAGGTGTTGATTGCCTCACCGACACCGCCCTGGGCTGCAGTTATTGCAGCTCAGGCTACGTGCAGACTTGAAGAGGATTTTTTTAAAACAAAACAAAACAAAACAAAACAACAAAACAAAAAAAAAACAGAAAAAAAAAAAAAAAACAAAAACAAAACAAAACAAAAAACCACACCACACATGAAAATCAATCCTTCTTGTACCATTCCTGCCATGACTTGAATCTAGAGTTCACTGTTTAACCTTAAAATGTCGATAGCATCACAAACAATCCCAACAACTTCAGGAATTCAGCAATTCATAGATTTAACCAGGGATCAGTTGTTGCAAAGCCACACAAATATCTAACGCCAACTAGGTCCCCACAGGAAAAATGTTTAATGGGTCTGTTTTGAAAACGAGGGGTTTATTTTTATATTTTTTACACATACTTTGTAATACAGTACTACACTGACTTCACAAACGGTGCTTAAATCCTTCAGTCACTTAAGGAATTACGGGCTTAGGGAAAAAAAAAAAAGGAAATCTGAATTTCACCAGCCCCATAAAGTGATACAGAAGGAAGAGAATCACAAATAAGGCTTTGATAGGACAAAAAAGTATTCCCAGACAGAGCTGGGGTGGCAAAATCTGGGTAAAAAGTTACGAAGTAAAACAGTGATTGACAGAGAGCTGAATCCCACACAGTCATATTAGACAGTGTTGAGTGATAGGTGAAAAAAAGATCAAGTTCATGTCCTTTCTATTGCTGTAAGCAGAGAATTTAAGATGCTGAGTCTGACCAAAAGCATGAAAGAGTGCAGAAAGTCATGGGATCCTGTGAGTCATTTGGAGAGTGATCTTCAAATGCTCCCCTCACCCGCACCCTTGAGAAAGCCAATTAGTCAAAATCAAGTGAGTTTGTGGAGAGGATCCACGACATGGAAGATGTTATGCAGGCTGAACAAAATAAAGACAAAATGTTTTTTGTCTGAAAGAGATGAATCCATTAGTATCAGACTCTTTGTAAGTATCAGCCCAAGCTGGGAAAAGAATTCTTGGATGATCATTAGCAATATTAATGCCTGTAATTGCATAACTGCAAAATAATTCTGAGTCTTAACTCTATATTCTGCTGGGCATAGTAAGAAAGTAAGAGGCAATGGGCACATCTAAACTAGCATTTTAGTTCAGAGAAGAGGTGAACCTTGGAAGAGCATATTCTAGTTGTTTCCACCTGTTGAACTTTGGCTCTCGTCATGGAACTGCCTTGAAGATTGTAAAATGGATGCTTCTGGACTGAAATGAAACCAAAAGATGTGTTTCTCTAACGTCTTTTACTTCTCATCTGAAATAACCCCCCCCCGAAGCACCTGTAACATGGGTGTTGGACCCTCAGCAACAAGTGTTTTTCTCTGGAGAGCTCCTCCTTCTGGCCCATGCCACTAGTGATCGTAGGACCCAACGGAGTCTCACTCTTTTCACCTAACTTTAAATGTCTGCCGTATATATTTGTTCCAGGCTCTTGTAACCAGTAGAAGGAAATAATGGCTTCAAATGTGTGATTTATCAATTTGAAAGATGTATCTTCTGCTCAGATGTGTCACATGCTCAAAGCTGCTATTTTCTCTGCAGTAACAATGACAAGAGTCTAGGTGATGAGGTTCCAGGTAGATGTTCACCTAGTGAATTCCACCAGAGTTAGTTTAAAATGATGGTAATGGCAGAAAATAGGAAATAGACTCACAAAGAAATTACTTGACTTTTCCAAAGCCACTTCAACTAACCAGTGCCGGAGATGGGACCTGACCTCGTATCTTTCAACTCCAAGTCAAATGTCTTCTCTTTACACAAGTAATCACTAGATTATTTAGCTGGCTGATGGAGCATGGTAACTTACTCTTTATTCATGTCATATAAAAAGCTTTTTTTTAGAATTGAAAGTCAGAGTTGCAACGGACAAATTTCTCTGTTTTGTATCCATTAAGAAGAATCTCTCCATTTTCCCAGCATTGTAAAATTTTGCAAATACTTGTCTAAATTTCATATTTTGCATTCTTTACATCACTAAGCATACTATGAACATGTTATGCATTGAATTACATTGACTATACTCAGTCTCTAATATTAGTTTTTATTTGTCAGGCGGTATTTAGTGAGGTCTTTTATGAATAGTAGAGATCCAGTCCCCTGGATTCAATGTCTTTGTGAATATAAATATCAACCTGAACTAGGAAAATAAAATTATACCTACGGTTGCTGAAAGTGTAGATATTAAGTTAATTCAAAAAGATGAATGATAAAATTAATGACTTGCTTTCTGTTTATATGTGTCAGAAATACTGTTAGGAAGTGGTATCAAAATATTCTGTCATGTGTCATGTCGAGTGCATTTTTACTAGTTTTTCAAGTTATCTGGAAACAATAGCAGCAACACTTTTAGATGTAGGTAACTGTGTATTTGGATTTTATTTGCAATGAGTCACTGAGTGAGGAATCTTATTTGCATCATATTAGTCAGTGTCATGTTTGTATTTTAAAAATAACATCCTGCAAAAGGTAGAGAGAATCTTAACGCTCAGTTTTATCAATAGTCAAAAGGGGGATTTTAAGCACAGATAAAAGTACACAAAACTCCTGGACTTTACCTCAAACCCTCCCTGTACATGTCTTGATTTCCTAGAAACTGGTGACGATTTGCAGTGTGGCAGTAGGTGCAATGCTTAAGTAAAACTGGAAAGAACAAGATCTTAATGCAGAGAGGTTTAAAAAACAGCACTGGGAAATCCAGCTGCCTAGAATTCGACCTCTGCAGAGTTAAAGACCGGGTAACAATTTGAGTAGTTCCATTTTAGCAACATGAAGCCCACTGTCTGGGTAACCTTTCTGTGGCACTGCAGAGGCAGAACATAATTTTAAGATCTGCAGTCACTTTTTGGAGGAGAATACCTGTAAAGAAGTGAGGCGTGGTTGGAAGGACTGTGTTTCAGATGCTGGGCTGAAGAAAGCTAGGAAAAACCACAGCAGATGGCTGAAAGAAGATTGTAATCATATTTAGCTTTTCTCACTTCACAACTTCAATAGCCATTTCGTGCCAGGGAATCCAGCGCCTCCGGATGTCCTTTTAATCCTGCTCATCTTTCTCTTTCTCTTTCTTACTCTGGCAGTGCTTGCCAGCCTGATTCAGACAGTGTTGCGAAACTGCAGTCCCAAACAGACTGTTGCTCTTTCTGGTTATCCCACCGCAAAGAAATTGGAGAGACCCGTTCCTTCTGCCACTGCTGCTTCTGATGCTACCTGATACACTTTGCAAGATCTGTTTTAAATTCAGAGCTTCGCAAAGAGACCCTTAAAAGTCCTAAAAGCTTTTTTAATGGATCAAAGTTTGAGAGAAGGACCCCCATTCACCGATGACTCCCTAAACAAATGTCCCTTCAGGGATCCGGTGTTTCTTCTGAACTAGATCTCACGCTGATATTAGTATGTCACCCAAAGAAACAAGCCCAATGTTACACACATCCCACTTCCACAGTACGGGCAGCACTTTGCGTGGACGTCGCCAAGGGGCGGGTGCAATGCAGAAGGAAATTCTTGCCGCCAGGACGGTGAAATTTAAACCTGTATGAATGCAGCTCCTTGCGGCAGGCGACCTGAAGACAAACAGCTGGGAAGAGCAATTCTTAGGGCGGATTCAGAGCCTGTTCAAAAAGGCATTTGTTCTGAAAGAGGCAGTCGTGAAAAGGTGTGCAAGGAAAACACATTCAAAGTGCAATGTGTTCTGAAAACACGAGGCGCCAAATGCAATCCAGATGGTGGGAGCAGTACCCCAACGGAGATTTGAGCAGTATACAGGCAGCATACCCAGAAAGTAAAGAAATTTATGGTTTAAGAAAAAGGAAGACAAAAGATAGTTTCTTCCTCTCCTCCAAACCATGAGGTAGTGTCCCTAGAACACCAAAGTGTGGTCAGTGTGGGACAT